CCATGCACCAAGAGGTCCCGGTTCGATTCCTGGTCAGGGCACATGCCTAAATTGTGGGCCCAATCCCCAGTGAGGGGCATGCAGGAGGCAGCCAACTGATACTCTCCCTCATCGATGCTTCTCTCTCCCTCTTCCTTCCTCTCTCTCTCAAACCAATTAAAAAAAAATTTTTTTTTTTTAAATAAAGAGACATGACAAGTAAAGGCAATTATATAATCCTAGACTAAGTCTGTACTGGGGTGGGTGGCACATGACACAAAAACAGGTACTACTATAAAGAACATTTTGGGTCATTTCACAAAATCATAATACGGTAAATTAGTTTTATTAATGTTAAATTTACTGAGATGGTAACTGTACTATGACTATGAAAGAAAATATTCTATTCTTAGGAAATAAACCAGGGTAAAGGAGCACAATGTTGGCAACTTACTCTCAAATAGTCCCAGGGCAGGGGGAATAGTTCTGTGGGGAGGTGTGGTAGGACAGAGGAAAGAAAGAGGGAGAGACAGGGAATTCCCCTCAACCAGGGCTTTACTTCATTCAAAAATAGTTAATAACCCAAAGTTTTAAATCCAACACTGTACTATCTAACTTCTTAATTATATATTATATACTAAGTCAAAAAGGGACTAGACTATAAGCAAATATGCCAACAGGAAGAAAAGATGCAATATGATGAAGAACATCAGCCCTAAGCAAATGTCCGGATGGCCCCTTCTTTTTCTACAACATGCTCACTCCCTAACTATTGACTGTTAGTCAGCCCATTATGCAATGCACAATAATCTGATCTTTGGGGAAATTTCCACTGATCTGAAGACACCCGCCCTGTAGGAGGGGTGCCACTGACTTCATGCAAAAGTGGTTAACTCCCATAAGTAAAATTTAACACTAATGTAGCATAGTGTTTTTGAAGAACATAGACCCTAGATTCAGTGTTTTAATTCTGGTCCTGCTGCTTGCTAAAAATATCACCCAAGCAAGTAAGCCTCGGTTTGGTCATGTAAAAAATGGGAATGAAAACAATACCCACTTAAGAATATGGATGTGTGCATGGCCAGTGTGGCTCAGTGGTTGAGCATTGACCTATACACCAAGAGGTTGCCGGTTCAATTCCGGTCAGTGCACATGCCCAGTTTGTGGGCTAAATCCCCAGTGGGGGGCATGTAGGAGGCAGCCAGTTGATGTACTCTCTCATCAATGTTTCTCTCTCTCCCTCTTCCCCCTCTCTGAAAATCAATAAAGAAAAAAAAAAAAGAATGATGATGTGAAGAATAATTAAAATATACCTCCACAGTTGCTCAAAAAATGTTAGACAGTAAACAAAATCTTTTACTTAGGAAGCAGGAACATGTGTTCATTTTATTAAGACTTGCATAATTTCAGAAATTTTCTATATGGTAGCAGAAACATGATTACATGTATGTACACGTGAGTAGTATATGAGACACAATCGGAAATCTGACTACTGGCTGATTATCTAACATTAAGGAATTATTATTTTAGGTATATAAAGCATGTTTTTCTCTAAATATTTAGAAAACCTTTGAACTATTAATTGATGAATGACAGAGGATCTGCTTAAAAAAATAGGGTGAAGGACTGAGACAAGATTGACCGTTTAGCTTCTACTTTTTAAAGCTGCGTGAGCCCTGAACGGTTTGGCTCAAGCGGTTAGAGCGTCGGCCTGCGGTCCGGAGAGGCCCGGGTTCGGTTCCCGCTAAGGGCACGTACCTTGGTTGCAGTTTGTCCCCAGCCCTGGTTGGGTCATGTGGGCGGCAACCACTCGATGTGTTGCTTTCACGTCGATGTTTCTCTCTCTCTCCCTCTCGCTCTATCTGAACAAAATATTGAAAAATGTCCTCGGGTGAGGATAAAAAAAAAAAAATTTAAAGCTGCGTGATAGGTACATGGGTGGTGAATCAATGTATTATATTCTCTGCTTTCATGCAGGTTTAAATTTTTTACCATAAAATTTTTAAAGAAGGAAATTCAAAAGTAAAGAAAGTTGGCAATATTTGGTCATTAGCAGGGACAATAGGGAAATGAATTTAAAGTTTAATAAAATGAAGACTGCAGAAATGAAGCAAAAAGTATAAAAGCTTGAAAAAGAATGGGACAATAAATACATTTTGGTATTTAAGGGGTTGAGATGAAAAATAACCCAAAATATAGGTACCCCAACGTAACCACTAAGAAAATATGAAAATACATGCATCTTAAAACTTTCTCCTATGCTTTCCAAACTTTTTTTCAAAGCAAAACATTGTTATTCTTAACCCTCACTGATCTTTATAGCTGTGATTTAGATCAACACCTCACTCTTTCCCTACTCTCTTCCTTTTCATGATTCCCTTTTTATCTTCCATATATCTATTTACCTTCTATTTTGATTTTCAATCACAAATTCAGACCCCAGTAAATAAAGCTGAAGCAATGAGTCAGTAAAGTTGGACACAAAGAGGAGCTTACTAGCATGCCACAATATAATTACTTTCAGTTTGGGAGGATCTCTAAACTACAGTTCAACACTCAATAGCTCATTTCTACACAAACCAGCCCAAATTATGCTATCAGATAGCCATAATAGAAACACTATTTCCTAGTATGTACAGCATTTTATTAAGAATTTGGAAAGATTTATCCAAACTTTGACCAATATACAAAATATATAGTTATAGTAGAAAGAGCAGAATTTGGACTCCAAAGCTCTGTCCTGTGTTCTTATCCTGGCTCTAATAACTACCAGCTGAGTTCATTTACTCTAATTGTAAGCATCTAAAACCTTCCAGGCACTGGGACAGACACAAAATTGAACATAACAATCATACAAAAAAATGGTTACAATGTTTTGATAAGTGCTACAAGAGAGGCATGTATAAAGTTGATAGATGCACAAAATATTTTAATAAAAGATGAGGTGACTTTTTCAGCTCTAAAATTTTATCAATTTAATCTAAAGTCCTTTAAGCCCCTTCTTTTTAATTAAAACGGAGTATGCACAGGTCACAATTTTCTAGCAAAAGATGCTAAGCACTTAAAAATCTGTAATAAAATTAACAACCGACATTAAACACTATGTGCCAAGGGATAGGAGCTTTCCATACATGGTCTCACTTAATGCTCACAATCCCAAGCAGGTAGTATTCTCATCATTTTACAGATAAGGAAACAAATTCAGAAAGACTAAAATAACTTACCCAACACCCCACACATATAGTAAGAGGAAAAACAGGGATTTGAATCCAGATCTTCTGATTCTAAAGCCTATTCTCTTTCCACTAAACTATTTCTCTCATTTTCTTTCACTACATGAAAACAAAATTTCCAGGGATCACCTTGAGAGCACCCAAGAGAAAAATCTTTAAGACAGCCATGAAGTACAAAGTAACCACCGATCATAAGAAGCATTTTTTAAACCAAAGTACCTGCTATATACACCTTGATAGTGAAAGATTACATGGCAAAGGATTACATAACTAAAACACAACCAATATTCAAGATAACAGCCATGTGTGACATGAATAACTAGTTAATAAAAATGAGTGAGATTTTGTGACTTCTTCCAACTGTTTTATCTTTACCCTTACTTGCTTGAACATGAACAACCAAGAAGGAACTAGCCCAGCATAGAGTACTGTATTAACATGTTGAGTAAACGTAAGGATTTAAAAGTGTGTATTAAAGTGTATGAAAATACAAAATAAAGTGTAATGAAATGCTGTCAAATTTGTCTAAAGAGCAACATAAGCCCACTAAATCTAGAATACCTAAACTTCCACAGAATTTAAAGCTACGTTGAAACAATGTATTTTACGCATTTTTCTGTATAAACTTCATTAATCATTTTTGTAAGTCTTTTTTCAGTTTATCAATTTTAACTACAAACCTGAACCAATACACATCCCTGAAAAATAAACTAACACTTTACATCAAATAAAGGGGGGAAATTTTTTTGTGCACAATTCCAAAGCTCGTTAGTAAAATAATTTGAATCAACACAAGTCGCAGGATGCCGGCAACAAGTTTTCCCCCAGAACAGATTAAAATAATATTTCCCCCCAAATTCTGCCTGACTGTAAAATTTAAGATGAACAACAACTAGCTTGATGCAGTCTTCATTGTCTAGTTCAACTAAAGATTTTGTAGGAATACGTCTTCTTCATTCGCATTTACCTCAACAAGAGAGTTTCAAACGTCCTCAAGGATGCAAGTATGGGGTATATACATTCTCCCCACCGCCTTCAACAAGCAGGGCCCAAGCCGGGAATCACACAAAAATACACTAACGATCAACTTTCCTCTGAGAGATCTGGACACAAACAGCACAGCCATCTGGGAGCCTGTCCCGCACCGGGGTGACAATCTCCTTGCTTTCGGACCCGCATACGGTAGGCGTACGAAGCACCGACCAGCAGAAGCTGCTGGGTTGTAACATTCCCCTTTCATCCGACTCCCCATCCCCAGGACCAAACATGCTCTTCTCTCGCCACGTTTCTTGCACAACGTCGCCAGCCAAAAGGCTCAGCTCAAGCTCCAGCGCCTCTCTTCAAGGCCCAGCGGGGACGGTTACTCCCTCCTTGGTGCTCCCTCACCACCGCTTGCTCTGGCTGTCAGGCCTGGCGCGGTCTCGGCAGGCCCGGCGCCGATGGGGAAGGGGCCGCCACGGCCTTGCCAAAGGCTTGCTGCTCGTTCCTCCGCCCGGTGCAGCGGCCGCGGGCGGCTCTTCCTGAAGCAGGGTCCTAGCACGGGTGCCCGACCCGGCCCTCCGGGGCAGTGAGGTGAGCCGACGCGGTAGCAGGGCAGCCCGACTTCCCTTCCCATCCCGAGGGTCCCCCAGCCTCCTCCCGCCCCCGCCGCCTGCCCGCCGCCATTTTGTGCGCAGCCGCTGCGACACATACAATAGTCGGCCCGGATCTCATAGGAAAGGTTCAGGACCCCCACGCTGTAGGCTCCCGCCTTCCAAGCCCCTAGTCCCCACAAGGCAGCAGTCCTACCTATGCCTACCCGACTAACAGCCGGATCCCATTTGCGCCCCACACAGTTTAGCTCCCAGCCTCCAGTCCCGACGCCGAAGAAGCTACCGCCTCCACTGAACTGCACGCATGCGCGCCTTTCGGGAGTCTGCCTGCCCTCCTCAGCTCCCGGCGCCTGCGTACCGCGGGCACCGCGCTCGCCCGGAGGCACGAAAAATGGGCCAGGCAAGCTTGGTTCCGGAAGGGGTCGCTCTCGCATCTACTCAGGCATCTAGTAAAACTCAAGCTCCAGGCAGTATCAATACCTGTGCATGTTCTCTGCCAGTCCCATCCAAATCATGCGCATCGCTAACCTGTATTGTCTCACCTCTTCCTTCCATGGTCTTCCTGATCATTTTTGTCTTCAATAATACATTATGTAATATATTCGTCTGGCACTTGATATCATGCTTTGCATGGTTAAGATTTTACCTGCCTTTAGCATCTCGCCTTGCACTTTTTTTTTTTTGCATCCTTATAGCACATATCATAGCCACTCAAAATATCAGTGAATTCGAATTTAATTAAAACCTTCAACATCAAAGCTCAATCATTGGGAAGAATCTGGGAAAAGTCGCAAGTCCTGCCTTTATGGATAGCAAACAAATCCTACCACGTACCCTGAGTCTCATGAATCAATTTTTCCTAGCATCCAAGTTGATGTCTTTCTTTTATCCACATTAGAAAAGGCTGAAGGGAACATTTTTTATGAAATATATCTTATCAGATTTTCCTTTCAAACTAAAAATCCTGCCAAAGGCAACAAGCCAAGAACAACAAAGACCAACAAGCTCTCCCCAGCTACATATAACCAATGTTAAAGTTTGATGTGTTTCCATCCATACATTTCTTTCTATTCATACAAATAAACACAAACATATTATCAGTATGTATTCGGAAATATTCTTTATTCTTTTTTCCAAAAATTTACATGTTAGTCTGGTATTTGCTTTTTTGATCACTGGCATTTCTCCACATAAACTATATATATATAGAGAGAGAGAGAGAGAGAGAGAGATAAAGATATATCTCTATCTATATATCTATATCTATATACATATATATACATATATACATATCTATCTCTATCTATATATATATAAATATATATAGTCTCCTCTCTTTTTTAAACTGTGGTATAATATGCATAGCACAGCTCTATCATCAATTATTCAATCCGTTAATGAACACTGAAGTTGTTTTGAGTCTTTTTTATACTACAAACATTGCTATATACAATTAGCCTTATGAACTGATGTTTCTATTTCTAAAGCCTAGAATTCCAATAGTGAGCATGCTTGATTAAAAGACATATACAGCCCTGGCTGGTTTGGCTCAGCGGTTAGAGCCTGGACCCAACTGACAGAGGTTCTCTGGTTTGATTCCTGGTCAAGGGCACATACCTGGGATGCAGGTTCTATCCCTGGCCCTTCTCTTGTCGCAATTGTGCAGGAGGCAACCAATCAATGCATCTCTCTCACAACCATGTTTGTCTCTCTCTCTCTTTCCCCCTCCCTCCCTTCTGCTCTATCTAAAAATCAATGGGAAAATATCCTAGGGTAAGGATTAAAATAAATAAATAAATAATCACATGCATGTATATAATTTTAATAGATATTGTTGGAATATTTTCCAAACAGTTTATACAGTACAAATTTCCACGTCCACTAAATACAAAGGAGAATGACCATTTCTCCACAACATTATTTCTTTCTCTGAACTCTGAAATAACTTAAATGTCATTGGACTTCCCAGTTCTTTAAAGGTGTGGTAGAATTCACCTCTGAAATATTTTGTCTGGTGCTTTTTCTAGGGGTTGCTCTTGAACATCTTTCTCTAGGTATTTTATGATATATAATTTGATTACAATGTCTTCTTCTCCACAATTTTTTTTTTTTTATCCTCACCCGAGGACATTTTTCTATTTTTTGTTCAGATAGAGTAGGAGTGAGAGAGAGGAAGAAAAAGAGAGAAAGAGAAACATTGACGTGAAAGGGACACACTGAGTGGCTGCCTACTGCCCGGCCCTGGTTGGGTCAGGGCCAAGGACAAACTGCAACCCAAGTACTACAAGGCTTTGTTTAATTCTATAGCACTTATCACCTTCTAACATGTCATATACTTTATTTCTTATTGTTCTTATCTATCTCTCGCCACTAGAACATGAGCTCCATCATGTCAGGGTATTTCTCTGTTTTCTTCACTGCTTCATCTCTAATACCTAAAATGATACTTGGCACACACTAAAAACTCTGTATGTATTTGATGAATGAATGAATGACTGTGATGGGCAAAAAACTCTGGGTGTGTGTTTGTGTATGAATAAAACTGTTGAGCATCCTTTCAGATCTCCTAGCCCTATGAATTTCTTCCTTTAAAAAAAAAAAAGTTTTAATATTCGTTGTTCATATTTCTAAGGAGCTGGTTGTCTTTTTTTTTTAAATCTGGTGGCAGTTCTTAGTATACAAGAATATTAACCTTTTATCAAATATGTTGCAACTGGTTTCTCCCCATTAATATTTTGTCTCTGAGTGTCTTCTGTAAGTATAAAATTTGAATGTAGTCAATCCTTTTCTTTTTTTTTTGTTTTCTTTTGTTTTTGTCAATCCATTTCTTTATGACTTCTGAGTGTTCTTTTTGACTAAGAAGACATACCCCACACCCAAAAGCATACGAACCTAGAAATTATACAAAATTTCTCCTAAGCTTTTAAAATTTTTGTCTGCAACTTCACAATTTTCTTTTTATAGTTAAATGTTTGATTAATCTAAAGCACATTTTTGTGATATGAAGTAGGGATCTAACTTTGGTTTCTTCCAAATGTATTTAATTAATTATGAAGTTTCTAGATACAAGGTAACAACTCTTCCTCCACCTTCATTGAAATGCCTCTTCCCTTTAAAAAAAACAAAAACAAACAAGCAACAGGAATAAATTATTAAGTACTGTATGAAAAATGAATGTATGGACCTTCTAGTCTGTGTTGCTTATCTATTTCTCTACCCATGGATCACTTCCATTTGTTTATGCATTAACTGATCCAATAAATATTACTTCAGGACCTCCTCTGTTCCAGGAACTCTTCTGAAAACCAAAATAAATCAGTTGCAAACTGGATGACATCACTAACTCCTGCCCTCATGGCACATACAGCCTTGATGGCAAAAACAGCTCTGAGGTGAAAGCCAGTTTGGCATGCTTGGGAAACAGCAAGGCCAGTTACTACAACAGCATGAGTAAGAGAGAACCTAGATGAAGTGAGAGTAACCAGGACTACTTACAGACTGTATCATTAGTCTGCTCAGACTGCCACGACAAAATGCCACAGCTGGGTGGCTTGAACAGCAAGAATGTATTTTCTCACAGCTCTGGAGACTGGATGTCCAAGATAAGGTGTGGACAGGTGTGCTTTCTCCTGAGGCTTCTCTCCTTGATTTTTTTTTTTTTTTTATCCTCACCCGAGGACATTTTTCCAATTTTTGTACAGATAGAGTGGGAGGGAGGGAGGGAGAGAGAGAAACATCGATGTGAAAGGGACACATCGAGTGGCTGCCACCCGCACGACCAACCAGGGCCAGGGACAAACTGCAACCGAAGTACGTGCCCTTAGCGGGAACCGAACCCCGGTCTCTCCGGACCGCAGGCCGATGCTCTAACCACTGAGCCAAACCGGCCAGGGCTTCTCCTTGGTTTTCAAGTGGGCTACCTTCTTGCTATGTCCTCCCATGGCTTTTCTATGTACACGTGTATACCTGCTGTCTCTTCCTCTTCGTATAAGGACACTGGTCACACTGGATTATGGCCCACCCTATGGCCTCATGTCACTCAAATCACCAAATACATTCTAAGCGGGACTGGGGTTTAAGATTTCAACACATGAATTTGCAGGGAACATAATTTAGTCCATAACATAGGGCATTTTTTTTTTTGATGTTACACATGTTTCTCCTTCCCCCCTCCCACACCCTCCTCCCAATCCCACTCCCACCACCAGCATTGTTGTCTATGTTCATTGGTTACTCACATGTTCATATAAGTTCTTTAGTTTATCACTTCCCCACCCCTCACCCCCCTCTTCTGAGGCTTGTCAGTCTGAACCATACTCCTTTCTATGTCTCTGGGTCTGTTTTGTTCATCAGTTTACTTTGTCCATTATATTCTACAAATAAGTGAGATTATGCAATATTTGTCTTTCTCTGATTGGCTTATTTTGCTTAGCATGATACTTTTCAGGTCCCTCCATGTCCTCTCAAAAGATAAGAGATCTTTCTTTTTTACAGCTGCATAGAGTTCCATAGTGTAAATGTACCACAGCTTTTTTATCCACTCATCTATTGATGGATACTTGGGCTGTTTCCAGATCTTAGCTATTGTAAATAGTGCTGCTATGAACATAGGGGTACATATATTCTTTCTGATTGGTGTTTCAGGCTCCTTAGGATATATTCCTAGAAGTGGGATCACTGAGTCAATTGGCATTTCAATTTTAATTTTTTGAGGAAACACAATATTGTTTTCCATAATGGCTGCACCAGTCTGCATTCCCACCAGCAGTGTACTAGAATTCGCTTTTCTGCACACCCTCCCCAGCCCTTACTGTTTGATGATTTGGTGATGCATCTCTCTGATGATTAGTGATGTTGAGCATTTCTTCATATGTCTCTTGGCCATTTGTATGTCCTGTTTGGAGAGGTGTCTATTCAGCTCCTCTGCAGATTTTTTAATTGGGTTCTTTGTCTTCCTTTTGTTCAATTGTATGAGTACTCTATATATTTTGGAAATTAACCCCTTATCTGATGTATCATTGGCAATGATGCTCTCCCATACAGTGGAATGCTTTCCATTTTTATGGTTGTTTCTTTTGCTGTGCAGAAGCTTTTGAGTTTGATGTAGTCCCATGTGTTCATTTTTTCCTTTGTTTCTGTCGCCGTAGGTGATGTATCAGTGAAAATTCTGCTGTGTATGATGTCCGAAATTTTGTTGCCTACATTTTCTTCTAGGATTTTTATGGATTCATGGGTCCCATTTAAGTCTTTTATCCATTTTGAATTTATTTTTGTGTATGGTGTCAATTGATGGTCTA